CAACTAATGCCAGCTAGGGAGTTTCAACACAATCATTCAGACTAGTGGCTTGAAACAAAAACACAAACAGGAGCAGTAAAAATCAGCAATTGCTAGCTGATTTCTAAAGTCTTACACTCAGGTTGCTATTTGAGCCAAAAGTTACTGAAAAGCCTTTTAAATAGCAGTTTCCCACCTCCTTTAATGCTGATGACCTTTTCACAGTTTTTCTTTCCCACTATCAGCTTGTGGTAGCATGTGATTAGCTTGGTGACAGTAATTGCCATACTAGTTGTCACACTACACACGGAATCCAGAAGCAACTGGCTTAGGCAACCTACTCTTTGGATGCAGAATTAGAGAAAACTGGAGCCCAGATTAGGATTTACTTAAAATTTGGCACAGGATGCCATGAAGTAAAATACAGTAACTTATTTACATATCTCAAAGATACATGCATATGTATACTATTAAAATTGAACATAAATTGATACTTCAAGAGTTGGAACATTTCAGTGTTAGCACAATATTTAATCCAATACTAGAAAGGTAAACTAACACGTTTTTTCCCACAATTTTAAACTGTAGATTTGACAATTACAATTCAATGTCACATTTTTATTTGAGAACATTATGTCCACAATTCTTCTCTGTGCACTACACAATGGAAAATTCTGAAGCAATTTTTATTATTTTATAATACACAGATCTGATTTATGTGGCTTCAAAAATGATGTAAGTCATTACATAAGGGCAAACATTCTTTTAAAAGGAGAAACACATTAAATTAAAAACTGATGTTGTAATAACTTAATTCACAAATGATCTTGCAAAGTGGTGAATGCCTCTGCAAGCGATACTTATGGGAATTGAGGGTGCTAAGTACTCAAAGAAACATTACAAATCTTGCAGGATCAGGTTCAAATATGCAAGAATTAAGGGATTGACTCATCTGTAACTATACCAATATGATATAAAGAGTTACATGTGATAAGTAGCAAAGAGTCCTGTGGCATCTTATAGACTAACAGATGTATTGGAGCATAAGCTTTCATGGGTGAATACCCACTTCGTCAGATATATGCAGTGGAAGTTTCCAGAGGCAGGTATAAATAATAAGTAGTCCACTTGAAAGGCCCTTTCCGCCCTCGGTGGGGCATACTGAACAAGTTACAATAGTTATGTGAAAAGATATTCACAGCCGGATCTTTATTTTAGGAGACACAAAAATCGTGGAAAGACTTCACAAAGTGAATAATTTGGCAGTATGAATGCATAACACAACTCTAACCCTTTTCCAGGCTAGATATTTGTATTCATAAAGCTAGACTTTAATAGCTTTCTAATGTCAAGCTTTTTTCTGTCATTGCTATAATTAATATTCTATTGAATTTTCATTACAAACACATGCACCTTTTACAGAACTTGGTTTACTGATTTTTAAAAAACACATAGGTGGATGAGGTTTACAAAAATAAGGTCACATAGTAATTTAGGGCATGATCCAATGAACTCAATGAAAAGATTAGCTCTCCTGTTCTAAAATACATTCCTAGTATGTACAAAATTCTCTCCCTTTCCCCTCCCCCACAACTCAACATACTAAAACTTAAGGCAAAAGCATCCCCTGTCCTCCCCCACTATTCAACCGTCTATTCTCCCTCACCATCGAATTACCCCACTCCTCACTCCACATGGTAAACCCAGTAAATCAACCTGGGAACACACCGCACCCACAATCAACCCCTTCCTCAGCTCATGTCCCCTTGACTTCCACCTCACTCCTGCGAGCATAGTTCCAGTTAATAAATTACAAACTAAGGAATTAATTTCTGGAAAGGAGAACCATTGAGATACTAGATGACTACAAGATTACTACAGTAGTTCTTTGTAATGGATTTGCACCCATAAGAGTCAAATCAGCTGCATTATGTTGAATGAAACATGTATTTTACTTTAAAATGTTGTGAGACTGAAAGAGAGATATGAAGGGACAAGCCTGCCTCCTACAGCATAATACAGCCATACAAATAACTATATTCAAAACAACATTAAAAAGCTAAACTGAATCCTAGAAAGGAATGGAACTGAGTTAAAGCTGAAATCTAACCTAGCAGAACAGAGGAAATCATTGTAGAATGTGTCACAAATTCACCTACTGTTTAGCGAGCTAAAACCTCCCAGTACAATGGGGTGGATTGACAACATTTTAGTACTTAGTCTTACTTTATTTTGACTAAAAATACTCAAAAGATTTAATTAAATCTTTCAGAGGTTTAATTTCTGTTTCCCTATCTACTCTTTAGAGTGAAAGGAGAAAATGCCCTATGCAACTGACCCGAATAGGATGCTTAATGACTACCAAAGCCCACGCACAGCTTATATGATAATATTAATATAAAGGTTGTTACATGTGACTATTACACACAGTATACTTAATTTTGATCTTCTCTACATTGGTATAAATCAGACGTAACTCCACTTAAGCCAATAGTGATTCACTTAAACGTAAACACAAGTGTGGTCAGACTTCAGCCTTATGGACCTATAGTATGATATACATAATAAAAATCTGTGTGTAAAGAATTACTACTATCATGTTTACAGTTTTTAAACTTCAATGTCTCCATCTTCTAATTTAAATTATTGGTTATCTGGGAGCGGGTTGGTGGGTTCTGTGTCTTTAAACTGAATCAAAAAGGACTCTGTCCTCAATACAGGCGAATGTAATGATCTACAGCATCTCATTATGCAACAAAGCTGATGTTATTTTCATAATTAGTTTAAATAATGCCACCAGAACATTTGAGTTTTCCTACAATGAAAACAGATTTCTTTAAATAGTCTTTTTCCAATATTCATAACCAAGATCATGTGCATCAAATTTCTGTTTAAGGTCGATTACATTTTTTCCCACAGTTAAGTTATAATTCCTTGGAAGCAGGTGGTGAGAAGTGTCATTTTAAAGTTGTGTAACTTCAACATTTATCAAGTGAGGAAATATGCAAGATTATTCCATAGAATTCAGTCATGGGTCTCTTATATAAAGGGTGGTGATCATGCAAATTGTGTAATGATTTTGCACTGTGGACAAGTGTCTACGTAGAATCAAACTATTTTAAAGACGTGTGAAACTAGATTTTGAACCCTGGAGGCCAGAAACAAAATGAAAAGCTATCTCACCAATCAACTGTACCACGGAGATGTTTCATCAGGGAAACAATGACAACCCTAAATTATGGATGTGATAAGTTTGACTCAAGAATAATGATCTTGTACATTCACTCAGAAAGCCCTATCCTCTTTATAAAAGACTCCAGGACATGTTGCTTCCTGCAATCATGTATCAGAGGGGTAACCGTGTTAGTCTGTATTCACAAAAATAACAAGGTGTCCGATGGCACCTTAAAGTCTAACAGATTTATTTGGGCATAAGCTTTCGTGGGTAAAAAACCCACTTCTTCAGATGCGTAGAGTGAAAATTACAGAAACGGGCATAAATATATATATTGGCACATGAAGAGAAAGGAGTTACCTTACAAGTGGAGAACCAATGTTGAAGGCCAATTCAGTCAGGGTGGATGTGGTCCAGTCCCAATAATTGATGAGGCGGTGTCAACACCGAGAGAGGGGACATTGCTTTTGTAGTGAGCCAGCCACTCCCAGTCCCTATTCAAGCCCAACTTGACGGTGTTAAGTTTGCAAATGAATTGTAGTTCTGCAGTTTCTCTTTGACATCTGTTTCTGAAGTTTTTTTGTTGAAGAATGGCTACTTTTAAATCTGTTATTGAGTGTCCAGGGAGACTGAAGTCCACCCTATATCGGAAACCTACTGACCGTTGTACTTACCTACATGCCTCCAGCTTCCATCCAGGACACATCACATGATCCATTGTCTACAGCCAAGCACTAAGATATAACCGCATTTGCTCCAATCCCTCAGACAGAGACAAATACCTACAAGATCTCTATCAAGCATTCTTAAAACTACAATACCCACATGGGGAAGTGAGCAAACTGACTGACAGAGTGAGATGGGTACCCAGAAGTCACCTACTACAGGACAGGTCCAACAAGGAAAATAACAGAACACCACTGGCCATCACGTAAAGCCCACAGCTAAAACCTATCCAGCGCATCATCAACGATCTACAACTTATCCTGGAAAATGACCCCCCACTCTCACAAGCCTTGGGAGGCCGGCCAATCCTCGCCTACAGACAGCCCCACAACGTGAAGCAAATACTCACCAGCAACTACACACCACACCACAGAAACACTAACCCAGGAACCAATCCCTGTAACAAACCCCGTTGCCTTCTCTATCCCCATATCTACTCTAGTGACACCATCATAGGACCCAACCACACCATCAGGGGTTCATTCACCTGCACATCTACTGTGATATATGCCATCATGTGCCAACAATGCCCCTTTGCCATGTATATCAGCCAGACGGACAGTCTCTACGTAAAAGGATAAATGGACACAAATCAAACATCAGGAATGGTAACATACAAAAGCCAGTAGGAGAACACTTCAATCTCCCTGGACACTCAATAACAGATTTAAAAGTAGCCATTCTTCAACAAAAAGTCTTCAAAAACAGACTTCAAAAGAGAAACTGCAGAGCTACAATTCATTTGCAAACTTAACACCATCAAGTTGGGCTTGAATAGGGACTGGGAGTGGCTGGCTCACTACAAAAGCAATTTTCCCTCTCTTGGTATTGACACCGCCTCATCAATTATTGGGACTGGACCACATCCACCCTGACTGAATTGGCCTTCAACACTGGTTCTCCACTTGTAAGGTAACTCCCTTCTCTTCATGTGCCAATATATATTTATGCCTGTTTCTGTAATTTTCACTCTATGCATCTGAAGAAGTGGGTTTTTTACCCACGAAAGCTTATGCCCAAATAAATCTGTTAGTCTTTAAGGTGCCACTGGACTCCTCGTTGTTTTTATTGCAGTCATATCTGTTTATATTGTAAGAGAAGGAGGAAAATGAAAACTTACCCATTTTTACTAAACACCCTTATCCATGCTTGAATGTTTGGTCCCAGCATACACAAGCAGTGTAAAGTAGTAAATGTAGATAGGAGTACTGCAAACAGAAATGTCTCAAGCACTGACCTATAAAGGAGAGACAAACTTTTTTAGTTAATTTTATGTTAAGAGCAATGAGTCTAAAGTTTTTTTAAAAATGCCAGCTCCATTAGAAAATGTGTACACCTTCTTAAAACTAATCTAGCAAGAAAAGTTTCTTGTGTTCAGCCTTTAGGAATAAAGGGAAAGGAATACAATATCCTCAGATAGCCCCATATCCGCTAAACAAACTAAAAAATGTAGTAATTCATCTGAAATATTTGGGTCCTGTACAACTTTAACAGACACAATGGTAATTTGTATGGATAGTCACTTTAGTTCAAAAGTATCCACTGATTTTTTACTTTCCCAAATCTTTCATCTTTCTTGTTTGACTATGGAAGCAGATAATGAGCTTTACCTGCATGATGTTGTCATTACTCAGCATCTCAATACCACTTCCAAATATCAGCCATGATAGATGCAAAGCAGGTTTCCCCCTATAACTTACATCCCAAATGCTAATACGATAGGAAGAGAGAGAAGGACATGGGACATTTATACAACTATAGTAGAACCTCAGTTACGAACACCAGAGTTACGAACTGACGAGTCACCCCTCCAAAAAGCAAAACACAGTACTGTATTTAATGTAAATTACTAAAAAAATAAAGGGAACGCTTAGAAAAAAAAGTTGACACGGTAAAGAAACTGTTTCTGTGCTTGTTTCATTTAAATTAAGATGGTTAAAAGCAGCCTTTTTCTTCTGCATAGTAAAGCTTCAAAGCTGTATTAAGTCAATGTTCGGTTGTAAACTTTTGAAAGAACCACCATAACATTTTGTTCAGAGTTATGAACATTTTAGAGTTAAGAACAACCTCCATTCCCGAGGTGTTTGTAACTTTGAGGTTCAAGTGTACTGCAACTTTCCCATGCTGTTTTTTTTTCTTGATCACTGTTCCATGTAGATTATAAAACAGAATGAGCATATACTAAAAGGCAAGTGGTCAGTTGTCTGTTTTTAATTCCTACTAGTGCCTGCCTCAAAATATATACAGACAATGGGTGAGGTCCTGCTTCTACTGAAATCGATGGGATTGCCATTGACTTCATTTGGGCCAGGACGTAATCCAAAGCCTTTTAACCAATATTTGTAAGGAGCTTTAAAGCTTTTAGGTGAAGATAGGGTTTTCAGACTTACTCTATTAGTGGTGCTCCATAAAGAATGATAATTCCATGAAACAGTATACATGATATGAAGAAGAACACACAGCATTTTAGAAATTTGGTTACCTAAAAAACAAAACAAAACACCACTAAATATCAGGATAATGCTCTATAAATAGTACAGTAAGCAATATACATTCTTCATTTTATCAACAGTGTTCCACTATGCCTACCTTGGAAACATACCATTCAAATTATTACATTGGGCTATGGTTGAAACTAATAATTTAATATAAAAGTTTTCCTGTGTTTAGTGTTTTAAAAATAAAAATCACACTTCAGTTTTGTGTGTTTTACTTACTGTACTACTATTACAAATAACACCTACAATTACTATAACTGAGAAGAATAACATGAAGAAAAACGTTTCCCAGTTTGTTTCCCGTGCACCTTTGACAGTACTTGTGTTGTATGCTTCTTTTATTGGAATGCATCTTCCACAAAGTACTAAGGAAGATTAGAAAATAAAAAAAATATTTTAAAAATTGGAAGAGAGACTCCGAGACATCATAGTATATAAAACTATATTTGACTCCAACTACATTTTAAAACTGACTAGATTTCAACGTAACAGTGCCACTTTCAGAAATGGGTATCTAACTTTCTACTATCCTGTAATAGGGGTTCTCAAACTTCATTGGACCGCGACCCCTCTGAAAAGAAAAATTACTACAGGACCCCAGGAGCAGGGACCGAAGCCTGAGCCCATCCAAGCCTCACCACCCCAGGAGATGGGGTGGGAAAGCCAAAGCCCAAGAGCTTCAACACCAGGCAGGGGGCCTGTAACCTGAGCCCTGCCACCTGGGCCTAGCAAGTCTAAGCCATCCCCGGCAACCCCATTAAAATGGGGTCATGACACACTTTGGGGTCCCGACCCAAAGTTTGAGAACAGCTGATGTACATAATATTTTTTAAAATACATCATTAATTTTCTACCAGTTTATATGGTACTCATTTGTTACCTGTTTTTCTTCTGTAGGAGTCTGATGAGCAGTTTTGATTAAAGAAGCACCACCCAAATCTGAGTGGTTCTATTCAACTCAAGTCACAAAGGAAACTTCCAACATTAGTTAAGTTTCATGTTCCTTGTAAAGTTTTTAAGTTTGTTTTTTTTTCAAGTCACAAACCCTAAAAAGATTTTTTTAAATATTTTTTGTATCATTTTCCCCTTATCAAATAAATCAATGTCACCTCACACACTGTGTGCAAAATTATTGCTTTCAAGCTATTTGGCTTGTCAAGCTATTTGAACATCACAAAATTCTTAGTAACAGTGGTCTAACCCCTTGGCTCAGCAACTGAGGTGCAGAAGAAAGGTGATGTGAAGATGCTTTTGTGCCTCTCCAATCCTGGTCTTGCTGGGAACTGATCCAGACCCCCATGCTAAAATTAATTTCTTTGTGTTCACATTCCCAAAACTTCACTTGCAAAATGTAGTATTATAGTGTCTTTTATAAAATTGCAGTGCCTGTGGGAGCTGGCTTGGTTGTTCAAATGACCTTAACTATCCATTCCAATACTTTTCCAATTAATTTTGCTACACTTTACCTTCATTTAAATTTGATGGGTTTGATTTTTTTTTTTTAAAAAAAAAAACACTTTCAAGATTTTACTGTTTTTCTTTATCAAATTATTGCTATGTCTTAACAACTATTAACTGCAGAGGAGAACAAACCTCTCCATAATGCTGGTTTAGGCCCTAATCCTGCAGTGACCTGTGTCTACATAGACCTCTGCATTCATGAGAGTCCGACGGACTTCTGCCAGAATGGAGCTTATTGGGAGATCATTGTCTTAGACTATAAACCACCAGTTCTTGAAAACACACTAAGACATATCTTAGCAAGGACCCCTGGGTTTGCGGACAGTGTCAGAGGTAGAAAGATCCCAGTTGGAGTGGAGTTGGCAGTATCAGGACTCCTGGGTCCTCTACCTGACCCTGGGAAGGGAGTGGGGTCTAGTAGTTTGAGTACAGAAATACTCCCTCCTGAAAACTTGAGTAGAAGAGAATGTTTAACATTGATGAAAATACTGGAAAACTCATTTTAAAAGACAATACACACTTACTCAGCTCATTTACAAAGGCCAAGATCTGACAACCAAGCACTTTAACGTATTTTGTCCTTTCACTTTCCTAGTTGATTCCTTCAATAAAAAGATAGTCAATCCTCCCTCAAAGCTACTAGCATCAAGTTAACTATACAGAGTCTTACCTTGTGAGCAAATGAAATTCTCTTAGAAGATGGATTTGGTTTAAGTACTATATACAAGATTATATTTACAGTTGTTACACAAATAGAACAGATGCACAACCAGATAAGGTGTGTTCCCAAAACTGAGAAGTTTTCCAAGAAGAAAGGTGGAACAACAGTTGTTAGGATAATGGAAAATACACAGACAATGTGGGCAGACAGCAGTCTCTTTATTTCTGTATCTTTCATGGTGTTCTATCGTGACTATCCACCTACAATAAAGCAAATAACATTATTGTAGTTAATTACTGAAAGGCTTAAGAGGGAGGAAAAAATATTATTTTTCCTGGTTGGAATGCATAGCAAGATAAATTATGTGCTGCTCTAAACCAGAAAACTCAGTTTAGGAGCAATCATGATGTTTCATTCCAAAAAAGTTTCAGAATAAAAAAGCCAGCAATAAAATACTTGAAAATTGGTTACCCAATGGTTCAAAAGCTGGCTGAACTGAATACTCACATAGACTAGATGATGCTGATTCACTGCTGATTAATTTGATTTTGAGACAACTAATAGGAACATTTTGATGACTTTTTTACATAGAACATTCCTCTGAAGTATTTACAACAACATTGTGAAATACTGGTTCCCATGGTTGAGCACAAAGAGAAAATACACATAAACAAATATGAAACTGAGCATTTTCATTCTCCATGTGAACAAAAGCACACAGAGTAAACAAAAAGTAAACAAACAGCACAAAAAATGAAAAGCAGATTTGAAAAAATAATTGCTTTCATAGTTTGAAGTGTTAAGACATGGGAACACTGAAAAATATATATACAATTCTAAATTGATGGAAACTCTTTAAAAAACAGGTGCTATTTTCAACCTTAACTATCCACTTCTATTCAACCTAAATTTGTAACTGTTTGGAGGTAGGGCATTCAAATAACTAAGTTTTAACCCTTACTACATACAAGCAAAAAGAAATTCAAGAAGCTAACTCTTCAGCCCACCCTCTTGTGATTTTCTCAGAGATATGGGGAATCCTGATTTTGTTGGGCAAGACAAAACAATTACACAGTCTTGTAAGATACACTGGGGAGGAGGAAGGATTCCTGCTCAATATTATTCTGTACCATTCTTTGCAACCTGCCATTGGCAACGATTGTGATAATGTGTCCTGCTACAACATCTGATGCATGGGCCATGCTGATGTTTGCATCCCCAGGCAGTGACAGTCTGCACCACAGGCTTTGTGCCATCGGGCAATTTGCAGAGAGGCAAAATGTCATGACCTGTCTTCTTCCTAGCCGATGTTCAACCTCCCTCAGCCAGCACGTGACCAGCATTCATCCCCAAATTTGGTGAGGAGCGGCGGAAGGCTCTGCGGTGGGGAGAGAGGTAGTGGGGGAAGCAGCGGGGGGGGAAGCAGCCGGCGGGAGGGGGGAGGCAGCGGAAGGCGCAGCCCCGGGGGAGGGGGATGGAGGTAAGGCCATCTTCCTCTTACCTGAGTCACATCCATGAGGCAGTGGGCGGGGCTACACCGAACGCGAGGTCAGAGGTCACGGGGCTCACCTGCCCCTTCGCTTTAGTCTCTGCGTAGGTAGCCGCGCCGGGCGCGTTGCAGAGGTCACAAGGGCTGAGATTGACAGGTGGTGGTAACCAATCAGGATAACTTGCTATGTGATTTGGGCAAACCGATAGGCTGGGTCCGGTGGGGAGGGGGGGGCAGGCTGAGGCGGAGGACGGAAGCGGAAGCGGAGAGCCGGCAGTGACGGTTTGTTTACGTTTTCACAGCTGCTGTCTCCCGGTGGCGGCGCCGGCGCCTGGCGCGCGATTCTGGCTCAGCATGGTCTGCGAGAAGTGTGAGTCCCCTGGGGCAGCCTCCCCCCCCCCCCGCACCCCTTCCCGGCGCCGGGGTTGAGACTCCCCCGGGAGCCTGCGCTGAATCCCCGCCCAGGGGCTGAGCCGCGACACTGTCCTGTGGCCCCTCCCCCGTTAGCGAGAGGGGCCCGGCGGCCTCTCCGCGGTCCGTTCTCCTTCCCCGCCCCTGCCCTCTGGGCAAGTGGTAGGCCCGCGGGGGCAGGTCTCCCTTTTCGGGCTGGGCCCCCTTTTCGGGCTGGGCCTTATCTCCCACACCCCCCTTCCCCGGCTGGTAAGTGGGCACCGAGGCGGGCATAGCTATGGGCTGAACTGCCCAGGTTTGTGTGGAGCCCTTGCTGCATGGCGCCCACTCGATGTTTGCCCCACCGCTTCTTGGCTGTCCCAGCTGTTGCCCCATGGCTGGAACCTGTGTCATTGCTTCTGTGGGTGAACTGGCATCTCTCACCAAGGGAACCTACAGAGGCCAGGCTGTGCCTGGCCTCCGATCAGGAGCTTGCTGACCACTGACTCCAGAAATACATATTTTATGACATTTGTAGTAATAAGCAGCATTTGCTTAGAGGCCTTAATGAAAACTGGGTCTAGTCACCTCCCATGCTGTATGTTGTGTTATAGGTGAGAAGAAACTTGGCACTGTAATTACACCCGACACATGGAAGGATGGAGCAAGAAACACTACAGGTATTGCATTTGAAAAGTTACTGAATTGAGGAAGAATTTATGCTCTTATTAGATGTCAGTAGATAACTGTCCTTCACTTAAGTCAGATTCTTTCCCATGATAATTCAGTCTATTGGGAATGTAACTACTTTGATCTTCTGTGGTGCTCTATGTGTTCGTACTATATTGTAGTACGAAATAATGATGCGTGTAAGCATGGACTAAGAGGTCCTGTTGTCTCACATCTTAATCCTTGGAGTACCCTATATTCATTTTTTCCACCCATTTATTTGCTCTAGTCTACTCACCCTCAACATTTTACTTTGCATCCACCTTCAGGCTAATCTTCCTGATCAGTATTTCACTTGGTTATTCTTGGGTATTTATAGTATTAAACACATTTATTTTAAAAACATTTATTTTATATTGAACTATTACATATTTAGTAGCTAAATGGAACCTGAACACCAAACTAACAAACAGTAGATTTAAAATGGGGTATTGGAGTGTAATTAAATATGACTGCTCATCCTTTTGGGAGGAAGAGAGAAAGGAAAGGACTCCCTGGTGGTTAAGGCACAGAACTAGGAGTTAGAAACCCTCAGTTCCATTTCCAGCTCTGCCATGGACTTTCTGTCTAATATTGGACAAATAACTAAGGCCTCAATTGTGCAGTAGTCCACCCACCTGGAGCTTTACATACCAATTCTTTGAAGACAATAGGAAAAGGACCCAGACCTTTACCCATTTTTCCCCCCTTGACCAAAACCTGTATCAAATTAACTGTACAGTGGAAATGAGAATTCATATATTGAGACCAAATTATAGTTTGTAGAGATTCTCTGGTGGAAGTTCCTGTAAATGTACAAAATATTGAGTATGCATTCTCTAAGAGTTATGTTTTAATACAGTGTCTCCAAGCAAGCTGATTGAACTGAGTCTTACGTTAGTCACAACTGTTCATGTCCTTTAGATAACTTTTCATTGTTTATAATATATTGCACTTCTGCTACATTTAGTGTATAGTACAGGGGTTCTCAAACTGGGGGTCGGGACCCCTCGGGGGTTGCGAGGTTCTTATATGGGGGGGGTCACGAGCCGTCAGCCTCCACCCCAAACTCCGCTTTGCCTCCAGCATTTATAATGGTGTTAAATATATTAAAAAGTGTTTTTAATTTGTAAAGGCGGTGGCACTCAGAGCCTTGCTATGTGAAAAGGGTCACCAGTACAAAAGTTTGAGAACCACTGGTATAGTAGTAGTAATATGAGAACTCAATGTGGGTTCTATTGGACTTTCAAGACTTACGATGTTCCTGGGCTCTTGTTTTGAATGAACTTTTCCCCCTTATTTGATCAAGCCTCGGAGGGGCATATGGGTGTGTCTCTTTTTTTTAATTTATTAAATAAGCTTTTTACAAATGACTTTGATATTAGTCAGTACATTTGTTTATCTTTCCTCTATAAAGAAAGTGGCGGACGAAAACTAAATGAAAATAAGGCACTGACTTCAAAGAAGGCAAGGTTAGTATTGCAATTTTAACTTACTCAGATAAGAATAAAGATCTTATAAAGTTTTTACTGGGACAAAACTTTTTTCATGTATTTCTGAGTAATTTTTAAAACTGATATACAATTCTCATTGTATTTGTCTGACAGAACACAAGCTATCTGAGGCAAGGACCGTGCAATATTATGATGCTATAAATATTTGTAAACAAACGTATGCATCTTCAGACTCGTCTTGTATTGCTGTGTTCTAGGGAAAACATAGCAATACAACTGCCCAAACTTTGCAATGCTTAAGTCCACCCTAAACTTTCATATATCTGCCTAGTTGTCTTATTTTAGATTTGGTGAGGAAGGGTTTGATATTGTTGAGGAATTGGGAGATCTGGGTTCTGTTATTGCAGGGATGAGCAAACTTTTTGGGCCGAGGGCCACATCAGGGAATAGAAATTGTGTGACGGGCCATGAATGCTCACAAAATTGGGGTTGGGGTGTGGAAGGGGGTGCGGGCTCTGGGGTGGGGCTGGGGATGAGGAGTTTGGGGTGTATGAGGGTGCTCTGGGCTGGGACCAAGGGGTTTGGAGGGCAGGAGGGGGATCAGGGGTGTGGGAAGGGGTGCAGGTTCCAGCTGGAGGTGCAGGCTTTGGGGTGGGGCTGGGGATGAGAGGTTTGGGATTCAGGAGGGTGCTCCGGGCTGGGATCGAGGGGTTTGGAGAGCGGGAGGAGAATCATTGGAGTGCGTAGGAGCCAGAGCAGGGCCATGCCGCATCTTCCGGGAGCTGCATGGTGCGGCCCTGGCCGGAGCTGGGCCGAGCTGCATGGTGTGGCCCCAACCCAGCGCCTCAGCGGGAGCGGGGCCGAGTGGCATGGTGCAGCTCGCGGGCCGGCTGAAAACGGCTCGCGGGCCATAGTTTGCCCACCCCTGTGTTATTGTCTCTAACAAGACTTCCTGTGAGACCATGAGTCACTGAGAAACCTCTGAGTGCCCGTTTATCTACTTGTAAAATAGTGTGATAGTTGTTGGCCTCACAGGAGTGTTGAGGCTTAATTCCCTTTTTGCAGAGTGCTTAGAGACCATTAGGTGAAAGGTATGGAAGTGCAAAATATTCTATCATTAATAGTTTACAAATAAAGACTTGCATTTGATCAGCTTTGTCTACATGCTGCAGGGGTGTGCAGTGGGCCATATTATTAGCTTCCATATGCCATATTTGGCCTTAGGACTCTTTGAATGTCTCTCTCCTAGGCCATAGTTTCTCTACATTGTCTGTTTATAGCCACTGTAAGTTCAGTGATTTTGCAATTATCATGATGAGGCAGATGGGAGTATTTTCTCCTATGGCTTTTACATGAACCTCTAATGTGTGGAATATTTTATTTTTTCATCCTAGATTTGATCCTTATGGGAAGAACAAATTTGCAATATGCCGGATTTGTAAGAGTTCTGTTCATCAGCCAGGGTCTCACTACTGCCAGGGATGTGCTTATAAAAAAGGTGAGATTTATGTAGCATGACTTTTCCTTCCCTATCCAGCTTGAATTTAGTGCACAAATGGAACTCCACTTGTTTTAGTTTTAGGCATCAGAAATAGTAGAGCTGAAGAATAATTCAAACTTACCTTGGTAGGTTTATGGAAAACTGTTATTGAAGGTTGCTGTTGCTGAGCAATTGCATGAACTCTCTCTTAATATAAAATAATGTGATTGTGTTTAAAATTAATTTATAGATTCGTGGATTCCAAGGCCAAGAAGGGACCATAATGATCATCTAGTTTGACCTCCTGTATAATGCAGGTCATAAACTTCCACCCCCAAATTCACCAGAGCATATATGTAGTATTAATTTAAAAATTCCCAGTGAAGGAGAACCCACCATGTCCATTGTTAAAGTGTACCAATGGTTAATTAACCTTGATGTTAGAAATGTACACCTTATTTCCAGTCTGAATTTGTCCAGCTTCAATTTCCAACCATTGGCTCTTGTTACGCCTTTGCTGCAGTTTTCCCATATAGTCTCAAATTTTACTTTATATTTAATAGTCTCACACCAAAAGAAATTATTTTTAGGTTCCTATAGCATACAAGCCTCACAAGGCCTCTGATTCTGGCTGTGTGGCACAAAAGGAAGAGAGGGGAACCCAGTTTGTGAGAGAATTGAGTGATGGTGGTTCTTGAAGAGTGCATATGTCAATGGTTGTCTTTGTGGCTGACTCTGACTTCCCATGAACCCAATTGCAATTTGTGGCAATCAAATGGAGCAACCATATGCCACTGCCAGTAGAAGGATAATGCAAATTTTACTGAAGGAGACTTACTGGCCCAGTTATACAAGTACTTGGTCCATTGTAAATGAAGCTTGCACTAAGCTGAAACTAAGAAGTAAAAGGTTTCAGAGTGATAGCCGTGTTAGTCTGTAAATAAATCTGTTAGTCTCTAAGGTGCCACAAGGACTCCTCATTGTTTTTAGAAGTAAAAGTTAAAGATCAAATCAGCAGCACAAAGAAGCAGACTATTGCAATGCATCCATTATGGTATATACAATAGTGTTTCTATACCGTTGAGCTTGGCACACACAGGGGTGAATTGATACTCCATTCCTGACTCTAAGCTTCCTAGCTTTTATTGGTTTATAGCAGACCTTTAATTATATTTAAGGCTGTCAATTAATCGCAGTCTTGCAAGTGATTAACGCAAAACAAATTAACTAGATTAAAAAAAAGTAAGGATTAATCACAGTTTTCATCACATTGTTAAGCAATAATAGAATACCAATTTAAATGTATTATAAATATTTTTGGATGTTTTCTACATTTTCAAATATATTGATTTCAATTACAGCACAGAATAGAAAGTGTACAGTGTTCACTCTATATTATTTTTATTACAATTATTTGCAAAAAAAAGATAAACAAAAAATAGTATATTTCAATTCACCTGATACAAGTACTATGGTGCAATCTTTTTATTGTGAAAGTGCAATTTACAAATGTAGAATTTTTTTTTTTACATAACTGCACTCAAAAAGAAAACTGGAAAACTTTAGAGCTTACAAATCCACTCAGTCCTACTTCTTGTTCAGCCAATCACTTAGACAAATAAGTGAGAGCAGGTGTTTGCATGACACTGTTGTAGCTGGCGTTGCAAGGTATTTACATGCCAGATATGCTAAACGTTGGTATGACCCTTCATGCTTTGACTTATAGGCACTACAATACTTGTATGAGGTGAATTGAAAAATACTAATTCTTTTGTATATCTTTTTTATAGTGCAAATATTTGTAATAAAAAATAATGTAAAGTGAGCACTGTACATTTTGTATTCTGTGTTGTAATTTAAATCAGTATATTTGAAAATGGAGAGAAACAACCAAAAATATTTATAATAAATTTAAATTGGTTTTCTGATTTAATAGCGCAATTAAAACTGCGATTAATGGTGAGACTTTTTTAATTGCATAATTAATTGCAATTATTTTTAATCGTTTGACAGCCCGAATTATATTAGTTATATATGTTTTAGTTATTTACCCATAGTGTAGCTGTATCATTGAGACATAAACTGCTTTAGCAGCCATAATATCACTACTGCATGATTTGCCATTTCTGATAAAAATCAAGAGAGCACACAAACAACTTGAGAATGAGAGCTCATTCTACCCATCCATCAACTTTTCCTGTTTGACAACTTTTTGGAAGAGACACTCTTTATAAAGACTCACAGCCATGAAAATCATTGAAAAGAAATTTACCCAAAAAACCCTCAATATGACTTGTACACCTTATTCTTCATTTTTAGGCATCTGCTCAATGTGTGGGAAAAAAGTCTTGGATACCAAGAACTACAAACAAACATCTGTCTAATTATGTTGAGTGAGGATTTTATGCACTTGTTTCTGAAAATCTTTATACAGTTTAACTTCTAATCTAAAATAGCTTGTGAATATTATTCGAGAGTAATATGTGTCTGAAGGAAAAACTGAAAGACACATTTGACCAGAAGTCTAAGAGATCTGACTTTTATTATTTTGGCACTAAACTTACCGATGTTTAAAAATAATGGTTTTACACATATTGATATAGTCCTGAATTGCAATGAGATGTCTACTAAGTGTTCAGATCAAAACCACCACCATCATAGCTCATAGATTCTCAGACTTTGTATTCCTGCTAGTCCACTGTTAGGTTTTGACTCGACCACTTACGTAATAGTGTAAACATTTTGTAAATGCTTAAAATATGAGATCATGTCAACTCATTAAAGTTGTTGTTCCTGTTCAGTTTCCGTTTACTTTATTTTCTGATAACTTGACGTATTTGTAATTTTCCACATTCAAAAATGAATGGTTACAGTTTTGTCCTGCACTGAGGAATGTTGGTGTGTTGATATAAACAACACTTCACTCTTGTTGAGACTTCTCATTGATTTACTAACTGGAGTAACATTGGTCAAATTACAACAAATGATTTGAATACTAAATAAAACATAAACCCAACATGTTACTAATTTAAATTAATAACTGCCAGTTTACTTTAAGTAATGTTACCTTTGCAGCTGAAGATAGATAGCGGAATGCTTTAGAAATATCTTATCAAGTCTCCTCTGTGAGATTAGTTATTACACCCATTTTTCACAGGGATGTCTGCTTGCTCAACACAATAAAATGAATCTTAATGCTAATCCCCTGATATTCTTCATGTCCTACTGTAGTTGGAGTGTGATCTTAAACATCTATTTTGGAACTAAGGTTCTTGAAAGCTGTACTAGTATAAGTGCTTCAGTAGAACTATGAAGAGTGACCTTCACAAACTGAGTAGGAGGGACTGAAGCTGTACATCCACCTTCCTGGGAAGGAGGGTGCTTATTTGAGAGAGAGAGAGAGAGAGAGAGAACCTAGAAGTAGTGGTGATTGTAAAGGTGAGCATACAGGTCTGAACTTTATCTGGTGCTGTTCCTTACTCTTACTGGCCTGTGGCTAATCATAGAAAGTTAGGGTTGGAAGAGACCTCAGGAGGTCATCTAGTCCAACCACCAGCTCAAAGCAGGACCAACCCCAACTAAATCATCCCAGCCAGGGCTTTGTCAAGCTGGGCCTTAAAAACCTCTAAGGATGGAGATTCCACCAGCTCTCTAGGTAACCCATTCCAACGCTTCCCCACCCTCCTAGTGAAATAGTTTTTCCTAATATCCAACCAAGACCCTTCCCCACTGCAACTTGAGACCATTGCTCCTTGTTCTGTCATCAGCCACTACTGGGAACAGCCTAGCTCTATCCTCTTTGGAACCCCGCTTCAGGTAGTTGAAGGCTGCTATCAAATCCCCCCTCACTCTTCTCTTTTGCAGACTAAATAAGCCCAGTTCCCTCAGCCCTGTGCCATAGCCCTCTAATAACTTTTGTTGCCCTCCGCCAGACTCTCTCCAGTTTGTCCACATCCTTTCTATAGTGGGGGGCTCAAAACTGGACCTGATACTCCAGATGTGGCCTCACTGAGGGGAATAATCACTTCCCTCAATCTGCTGGCAATGCTCCTACTAATGCAGCCCAATATGCCATTAGCTTTCTGGGCAACAAGGGCACACTGTTGATTCATATCCAGCTTCTCATCCATTGTAATCCCCAAGTCCTTTTCTGCAGAATTGCCGCTTAGCCAGTTGGTCCCCAGGCTGTAGCAGTGGTTGGTATTCTCCATCAGGTGTAAGAAATATTAATAAAAGTACTACAACTATCCTGAGCTAAAGGACTGTTAACTGTTTGTAGCAGCCTAAGTCAAGAGAATGCTCTTCCAAAGCTACCAGGACTTGTAGGGATTTTAAGTCTTTAGAATCCTCCTTTCTCCTCCCACTGAAGTATCACTTAAGCACGGAGAGTATCATATGCACCATGTACAGCTACACAAGGATTTGTTTTTGTTTCCTTATATGTAATATGTGAATATTTTAAACCTATATTTTTTTCTAAGGGTCGGTGTATGGGTTCCCCCTTCAGCTCCTGGAAACCCTGGCTGGTAAGCCTTCCTTGTGAATTAAGCAGCACACACACTCCACCAGGGCACTTCCACCAAGCATCTTTATTATTGTTTATATTCTAGGTACATCTCAGCAGTTATATGGAGCCCCTTTCTGCTCCCTGTTTCAGCCTTTTATACTGCCTGCTTTCTTCTCAGCACTGTCCAGCTGGCGAGATAATTACCCCATTAGCTCATCAGGCTTCATACAGATGCAAGTGATCCCTTCTGCCCTTCCAAACCCAAACTACCTCAGTCACTCCTACTCTCTACACCCAGTGCCAGGGGTGTTCTAAGTGGCTGGCTTCCAGTGGCCTCAAATTATGGTGGCTAACATTACCCCATCACAGGGTCCCTTCCCTTGCTACTACTATCCCTTTTTGCTTGATTTGCAATTCCCTTCAGCTATCACTCATTTGTTTCATTCTGTGAATAGCTGTATTGAGTTTAATTTTTCTCTTGTTGTCACAACTATTACTGAAACAACTTCATGATTCACCCAAGAAATATTGTGAACTGTTGGTGGTGATATTTCCTGATGGGAGGTGGAGAAAACTGAGCTATGAAGAAAACATTAGGTATGGCAAGCCAGTCTGTTTGCAGCCCGCCTTCTCCAGCTGCCCTGCTGCAGCAGAGCTGGATGCAGGTTTTGTGGGGTGCTGTATTGATATAAGCCCCTGCTGGTTGTCAGTATTCAGTATAGAACAGTTTCAGGGGAAGGGTTTGGCAACCAGGCCAGGGATTAAAGAACTCCTTTTAATGAAGGGGATAGAGAAGAAGGGAAATGAAAGTGTCAGCTTTTCGGATGGAATAGAACAGGAGTGTGTATCATATGTCTTGACGGTGACACAAGTAAGTCTTTTGTGGTGGGGGTGGTTTCCCCACAGGAGTAGAGCTCTGTGCAGCTACACACTTGGATAATGAAGAGGGCTGGCCCAGTGCTTCAGAGTGGTGCCTGTTACTAACTCCTGTATGGTAGTTTGAATGTACCCCTCAGAGCAGCAGTATCTGCCACTGCCACATTTCATACTCCCAGTAGAAAGAGTCCATGGTGATGGCTGTAGTAGTGGTGCTGTGTCTCAGCAAATTATCTTTTGGCAAAGACCTAAAGAAATAAGTGATGGAAAACATGTCAAGTTCCTTTCTATCCCAGGTAGGGAAGTGACAGTAACATTGCTATGGTCAGCCAGCAGTCACTGGTTGAAATACACTACTTTTACCTCCTGAGGTGTGTTTCTACTCCTGTGGAAACTACCAGGCCAAAACCTGTGTAAGTGCTCTAATATGACAGTTTTAAAACTTCTGTTTGCCTTTTCTGCACAGAGCTGATGTATCATCAAAAAGTAATTGGAAAAAACTGGTATTTACAAGATCATTATAGGCACAATAATTTCTTTAAATACCTTAATTTCTTCCTTTGCTTCTGCCAAGCCATGCCTTGACTTTCTTTGGAAGCAGTCTTGGATCTTCTGTCTCCCTGTTTTAGGGAGAGCCTGGTAAAGGCATGGTTATTAAATTCAGTGGAGCTCTGCTGATTTACACCAGAAGAAAATGGAGCCCAATGGAAGAACAGTGTAAAATCAAGTCCATTAAGACACCTATGTTGCATCTCTTTAATTGGGTAACACGCAAAGTGTCTCCCATTTCACACCCTAGTCAAAAGCTTCACCCATATAAAAGTTTGGACTAACAGTAGATAAGGAAAGACCTCTTTCTGTGTAACCAACTCCAGCACGTAAGTCTCTAACTTGAAAAAAAATCTTGTATA